GCCCCCCCACCCCTCCCGGGGCAGGCGCGGGCGGCCGCGGGGCCGCGCGCGGGTTGTGAGGGAGACGTGGCTGAGCGCGGGGCTGCCCTCGGCGCTGCCTCCGTCCCGCCCGCCCGCCCGCGAGCAGAGACCCGAGCGGAGCGGACGGGGGGTTTGGTCCGCGGTCTGAGCCCGCGGCTGCGCCCCGAGGCCTCGCGCCGCGCGCTCGGGGGTCAGGGACCTCAGCTGGAGAGGCTGCCTGCGCTTGGTGTCCCACTGGCGACGTGGGTGTCAGGTGGGAAATCCGTGTCCTGTGGAGACACTGAACTGAGGCGCTATGAGCTGTGCTCCCCCCCCCCCCCCCTTTTTTGTGTGTATGTGCCTTGAATTAAAAATTATATAGATTTTCTCCGTGTTAATCTTTCTAAAAGAAGGAGAAGAAAAAAAGAGGTCTGTGTCATAGCACTAGTGCCAAAGAGCCCTCTGTAAGCAGGTTCAAACGATGTGCAGTGTGGATGTCTTTCCAGATTGAGATTAAAAAAGAAACTTCTCCCAGTATATCCATGATTGCAAGTTTATATACTTAGTTTGAATATATACAAGCTTATATACTTAAAAAGTTTCAATTCTGCTATACAAAGTCTTGTTCTTAATATGACAAAGTGAGATGTGCCCGTAGCAGTGAGTACAAACCTATAGACCTGCTGTATATAAAATATATATAAAACATAAAATAACAGCTCATTTGTAAATACGGAAAAACGGTTATGTTGAAGAACTATAAAAGTGAATATCACATTTACAGGTAAGAGAGAACATTGGGTATTGGGGTGCAGAACTTTGGGTATTTGGGTGCAGGTCATTGAATGGAAGGAGACATTTCAGTGTGTTTATTTTCTGTGTAAACAATGTTACTATTATATTAATTTTACAGAAGCAACCTGCTGTTATTCTGTATATTCATTTACCATAGCCTATTAGTTATTCTCCAAAACATTGTACACTTTTTTTTTTTAATTTATTTTCTGAAGAATGACTTGGTGGTTAAAACACAAGATTTGAAATTTTAAAATAGGAGGCCGAATTTTGTTTTGGCACAACATTGTTCTATTATTTGCTTGTAGAATGATTATTTTCTAAGGCAAATGTTATGGTCCGGGTTCAATCTTTAGCTTTTGAGGAAGTATTTTGAAGTGTTTTGACAAAAAAGTATTCTTGGAAACACTCATGTTCCTTTACAAGGTGAACAAATAGTTAGTTTAGATCATTTGAAACACTTTACTAACACTTGCCGTTGAAAGTGAGAAGAAGTGAGGAAACTAGGTAGGTTACGAGGGTGGCAGTGCTATCTGCATGTTATTCTGGGGAGGTTCTGTTCCATTTTTTTAGACCATAGATCATGGAAAGCAGTTGTGGCAACCTGTGGTTTTGAGGCTAAGTGTTTTTATTTTAGGGGCCATTTTTAGAGCACATGTATCTTTTCAGATGAGTGAGGAAGAGTGGTCAGTTTGGAACCTGTCACCTCTTTACAGTGTGTGTGTCTGTCTCTCTAATCCAATTTGGAAAACCTGTTTGAATTCAAGTATAAACGTAAGTGAGACCTCTTTGTCTCAGCCTGCTTTCAGGATCAGCCTTTTATTTGCTCTATGGGGGCAATTTCTCAGAGTTTTTTCTGTCTTTCATATATGTACTGTTTTTTTCTTAGATGGCACTGGTGAAGTACGCTACTGTGCTTTCAAATAAATGATTGTATCCTCAGCAAACAGTACCCTGAAACAATAGTCTCATAGGACCTAGGACTCAACGTAGTCTCATAGGGGATCCTTGGACACTAGGAAGAAACTCAAGGACCAAAATATGAGCCTGAAAATGAAGGCATCCTTGTGAAACGGGAGAAAACTCTTTAGTCATTTTTAAATAGGGAAGAAAAAAAAAAAAAAAAAACTAAAATATGTAATCGGATAGGAAGTTACTATTTTGAACGTATGAGGCAAAATTTACTTGTGCTAAAACAGACCTTGTCTTCTTATGTTTTAGAATCAGGTGCTGTTTTCACATTTGGAAAGAGCAGTTTTGCAGAGAACATTCCTAGCAAGTTCTGGTTCAAAAATGACAAGCCCGTGCACATATCGTGTGGAGATGAGCATACTGCTATTGTTACAGGTCAGTATTGGAAATGAAGTATATGGTAAGAGCTTGTATGCTTGGATAGCTTGGAAGTTATTACTTCATATGTGTTCATATGAGTTAAGAGGTGGAAATAATGCAAAAACGAATTTTGGGGGAGAGGAGAGGGAACTCCTTTTTAAGTGTTGTCAGGTCGCTCTGAAGTTAGTGAGAGGTGACCTAAAGATTTCCCAAGATATACTCAGGAATGCATATGAGTGAATCTGTATTAAGAACTGGTATGTATTGTGCTAATTATAAACTAATCATGATGTTGTTCAGTTTGAATACTTTATGCAAAACTGATGGTGTCCACCAGATAGTCTTAAATAGTGAGCTTTGTGTCATGGAAGTAAAGAGGATTTGTTGACAACATTTAACAAGTTCACTGGGAACCTTCCTAAAACAATATATAGAATTGCATCTCAGGAATGAAATTTTGAAATACTAGTTAAATGTGACTAAAAATAACCATGGAAAGAGCAGATTTAAAAAAAAAAAAAAAAAAAAAAAAAAAAGACCTTCAAAACTCCTACTAAAACCACAAATAATTGCAAAAGCATTCCAAGAAGCCCTGATGCAATGTACTGAGAAGTCTTTCTTAATGTTCCCTCTCATTTCTTTGAAGCAGTGCTCATAGAAGAATTTGTTCTATTTAAAATCGCATGAAAGAGACGAATTTGTTGAATGCGTATCAGTTATATTGAAAAATGCCTTCTGACAGATAATAGAAACTTTCTACTAAGGAAATCATAAGTGTGTTTTCCGAATTTTCTAATTTAAATATATTAATTCCCCAGATATGTCCTATGGTTTGTTTGGGGCATTAGTAATTAAATAATTCTTGTTGATGGTTTCCTGCCATGTCCCCAAGCAAAGCTGAAGATACTGATTTTTTTCACAAAGGACAGTTTCAAGCATGGTAAAAGAAGAGTAAATATCTTGAGATAAAACTATGCAATCAGTTTTTCAAGTCCATTTCATAGTAGGTGATTTAACCATGAATAGATTATGTTTTGAATAAAACGTCATGCTTCTTGGATTGAACATATTTTATTAAATTGTCTGTTGCATGAAATTTATAAAATACAACCTTAAGTACTGTGAAATTTTGTTTTCATTTTTTTTTTTTAGTTTTAATATATCTTTCCAAATGCTGATACCCAAATTGGAAAAACACTAGACTTATTCTAAGGCTGAGGGAGCTGGGCCTGTTCAGCCTGGAGAAGAGGAGGCTGAGGGGGGACCTGATCAGCGTGTATAAATACCTCAAGGGAGGCAGTGAGGAGGAGGGGGCGGCCTCTTTTCAGTGGTGGGCAGGGATAGGACTAGAGGAAATGGCTTCAAACTGAAGCATCGGAAGTTCCACAGGAACTTAAGGAAACATTTCTTGAGTGTGAGGGTGCCAGAGCCCTGGCACAGGCTGCCCAGGGAGGTTGTGGAGTCTCCTTCTCTGGAGATCTTTAAAACCCTGTTGGACACAGCCCTGTGCCACGTGCTCTAGGTGACCCTGCGTGTGCAGAGGGTTGGACTAGATGATCCCTGGAGGTCTCTTCCAATCTTAAGGATTCTGTGATTCTGTGATTTTATGATTCTAAGTTTAGACTGGCCAGTTTCAATTTCCTCTTTGAGTTCCCCCGGCGTGTGCCTGTGCCAACACTGTTACCTAACCAGCAACAACCTGCTAAGCTTTTTAAGCTTGCCTGCGAGATCCCAGTTGCATCTGACACCCTTTCTCTTCTCTCTTTTCTTGTTGACCCTCTGTGTTTTATAAACACCTTTGTAGCTGCATTTGCTGTTGTAGTGCACAAACATGTCACCAAGAGAACTGCTAAATAAAAATATCTTAATTTTCTCAAACTTTGGAAGAAAATGGTAGAAGTGAGGGTACAAAATAGATTTGGTACCAAGAGGTTTTTTAGGGCACTTTAAAATACAAACAAAAATGAGCGCAAAATACTGATCCTCGCTGAACAACAGGAGAGAACCTGCAACTGTGATGCAGAAAGACAAAGGCCGACAGAAAATGCCCCTCATCTGTCTTTCACATCCGAGCATGTGCACCACACATCACACACTGCTGGCAGAGTGGGATGATACCCTGGAAGTGATGGCAGCAGGAGCAATTGATCCTTCAGCGGATGCCGCTGATGACTGGCAACACCGGGACTAGAGGAACCCCAGGAGAGCACGAGAGGAGCGCGGGTCTCGTGGGGAACCAGGAGCTCCCTGAGAAGCAGCTGAGCCTGGCCTGGAAGAGCTCAACAAACCCGTTGAGGAGAGGGAAGTGTCTTGAGTAGGTGGGTGTTAACGCGTGCTTTGTTTTATTTTCTGGCACAAAATTGCCCCATCCTTTCTTTTTTTTTTTCATGCCAGGAGAGGTATTAGGATCTAAGTATATAGGGAAAAGTAGGAATACTTCTAGATTTAAATCTGATCAAAATGTATCAGATTTATGCTAAGGTAATCATAAGCAAAATAATCACCTAAACTGATTTCATGTTCCTAAAAGCTGATTTTGGACAAGAGACAGCTACATCTTGCACTGAAAACAAACTGAATGCAAATGACAAAAATGCACAGGCACTAATACCCTGCTTTTAAACAAAAATATTCAGAAATTTTCAAATACTACTTTCATCTAATCCAATATCAATATTTCTACATGGCTTTTAGGATGAGAAGTATAAAGTAAGTATAAAGCTGTCTGTGCTTTGGCTTCCTAGATCAGGAGTTAGAGTCCAAAATAAATTTTGTTTACATTCTGTGGTTGTATGTTCAAATAGACAAAAGCAGTGATGGTTTCTTTCAGACTTTGAGTTGTCTTGCTGGCCTAGTAAGGGGAACATTTTTCTCTTCTGCTTTGGAGTTTGGAGTTGATTTTTTATTTATTCAGATTTCTCTTCCTGTGACATGGTCTTGATTAAAATGTTCAAAGCAGATATTTTTCAAACTGGTTCCTTAGACCCTTAACACTATCATAAGCAATCTATCTTCCAGCATCACTTGTGATATGTTTAACATTTAGTACCTTACTCTTATATTTTGGCCCAAGAATACTGACAGTCCACTCACTACATCTTTTTATAACTGCAGGCTTTGGAAAGCAACCATGTCCATTCCTCCACTTGGGAGCTGTTCTGAAGTAAGTGTCCTTGAGTCTATTTTTAAGAATGCTTCTTAAATTCATTTCTATTAGTATTTTCTTTTCTACAAACCTGTTAAAATGAACAGTTATCGATCTTATTCTTTATTGGCTTTGATTAGGGTGTCCTAGGCAGCTTGTCCACACTTGATCAGAGAGACTGACCCTTCATGAAGGGGAAGATGGTGATGACAGAAGATTCGTTTTTTAGATTCAGAGCTCTGGAGGGAATGAAGTTCCCAATGCAAGGGAGTAGAAAGAAAGAGAGAAGTCTCAAATGAAAAAAGAAGAGGTGTGTGGGGAAGCACAACGTGTTATTCTGTGTATACTTCCAAGTATTGTAAGGCATTAAACGTCCAGCAATTTACACCAGAGACACTGCAGTCTTGCCAAGTCTTTGGACACAAATCCCTTCTTTCTACCTAGCAAGAGGCCAACAGAACGTGTCATAATATCTTTTGCAATCACCTTCAAGGGAAAAATAAGGAAGATGGCTCTGATACATACCAAAGATCTGCATAAGTAGGTAGTAATCAACATGCTGAGCTGTTCTAGTTTGTATGGTGTTGTGTCCTAAACATTATTGTTTATATTGCGCCATAAAGCTTGTATTTGGGGAATATCAGGACTTGTCATGAGACTTGTCACATCATTCTTCTGAGATGCACATGATTTGAATATGGCTTTTAAATGAACTGTTAAAAGTGGTTTCTTCACAAAATAGCATAAATAAATACAAGGAAACTGTGGTGCCTCGCGTTTTATTCTCTGTCCTAAAGTTTTGCCGGGGTATACCTTCTTGAAAGAATCTTACAATCAGCAACATGTATAAATACTCAGAGTCTGTGCATAGTCTGCCTGTTTTATATCTCCCCCTACCACTAGCATTTAAAACTCAACAGAGAAAATAATGTAAAACGTCAGTATCTTTACACATCAGTTACAGGAATTCTTGTCTACCTGCTCTTTTCTTACCAGGAAGCATCGTACCCTGAGGCAGCTTTTGCTCAGCAGGTATTTCCCTGCTGCCTCTACTACAGCTTCAGGAACCAGCGGAGCTCATGATGGATGGATTTCCCAGCAATCACAGTTCTGATGGCAGCCACCCAAATGGGAAATGTGCTGGTCAGGGAACACCTCTTCCTTGTCTCTCACAAAGTTCCCTGTCCCTTAAGATCTAAGCATCCTGTGACTTCCCTTATTACTGCAATTGGTGGTGAAACCTCCACTAGTGTTATGCCAATATACAGATATTTGGAGAGGTTCCCCAGTCTTGCCTTGGGAGGAACATGGAGACCGGGGGGTATGCATTTCTGTCACCAAACCAGTCCTAGCAGTGTGCTGCTTGATATTCTCATTTCCCTTCTCTTACCCAGAGTAATTAATCTTACTCTGCTGGACTTGTCTTCTGCCAGCCGTTCCAGATGGCAGCCAGCCACGCTCTGCATTTATCAGCACCGAAAAGGAAGCGACAAGCGATTCAAGTTTGCAGGGTTTTGAACTCTGATCCTTGCCTATTCATCTGCTGTTGAAGTAATTTTCACGTTAATGCAACTGTGGTGATGACTAGAGATAGCTCAGTATGCAATTACAGAAACAGGGCATTTTGCATACAAAATTCTGTCGCATTTCCTGGCCAGCTCAGATTGCATCGTGCCCCTGTTCCAAACCCCAGATGTGTTCTTTCGCTGCAGGCATTCAGTTTGGTTGCTCTGGAGTGCCTAGTGCTCTGCATTCACTGTCTGAATTACCCGCTGTGCAGTTTTCTGTTATGCTGATAAGTGTTGGAAGTCTGAAATTATAAAAGGCTGTCACCCAGTTGTTACATAATCATAATAATAATAATAAATCCTCTCATTTCTTAAACTTCTTGACTTCAGAAGCAACATCTGAATTAACGGACTGCTACACAAAGTAGCAGATTATAAGATGAAAAGAATCACAGAATAGTTGAATTAAGAAGAGACCAGGAGCTCATCTGGTTCTGCCCTCCTACTCAAGCAGCTAGAGCAGGTTGTTCAGGACTGCGTCCCATCAAGTTTTGCTTGGCTCCAAGGATGGAAACTCCAAACCCTCTCTGGGCGACGAGATTTGTTAAACAACCCTAACAAAGTAAGGTTAAAAAAGAGGTTTCTTATGTGTAAGAATTGGACCCAGCATGCCAAGTGTGGCTTCGCTCATGCTGGGTAGAAGGATCACCTGCATGGACCTGCTGGCCAGGTGCTGCTGGCGCCATTGCCCCAAGGATGAATTGCTGGCCTGTGGCCAACGTGGTGTCCACCAAAACTCCCAGGCACGTTCTCTGCAGAGCTGCTCTCCAGCTGGTGGCCCCCGGCCTGCACTGGAATTCTGAATGGATAAACTAGAATGTGGTTAAATCGAACGATGGCAACTTGGTATCGTACCCCACCTGAGTGCTGCTCTCTCAAAAGGCCTTTGAAAGGTCTAGAGCAGGGTGCAGAGATACCTACAGCAGTGCAGGATGCCACTTTTTGTTAAGGTTTTGCTCTCAGGCAATTGTGTAGGCATTTGGAGCTGATTGCGTAATCAACAGCTGGATCGTCGTATAAATACCATTAATTAAACTGTTAATGTAATTTCAGCCCAGATTTCTCCCTGCTCTACCGGTAAGATCTAATACTGACACATTGCTATTATTTCAAAAGCTATTAAATCCAAGAACTTGGTTGTGTCTTTAGGTACTAGTTATTGTTAGGGTTTCTTTGTTTTGTTTTAACTACATGGTTATATTTTAGGGCAAAAATTGATTCTTTTTAATAACAGGGAAGACAAAAAAATCCAAAATATAGCATCAAACTCTGTAAATGGCATTCAGAAACCTCCTGCAAGTACCCAGGCTACTTAAGTACAGAACAGCCGTAATATTTTGGTACGACTGTGTGGAATTGCAGTTACGTGTTGGGCTCATGTGATGGTTGTTGGTGGCTGGGTGACTGAGAGTTCATTTAGGTGAGAGCTCTGTGTTGGAATCTCTGACTCGCAAAGGTTTGCACAGTTCCAGCAAAAGTAAACAGGGACCTTTTAGCTGTCCTGAAAGATTTTTTTAACATCTTGGTTTTGGAAACATCTGATGCTTTGGAAAGATTTCTGTTGGAACAAGGATTTTAGGTTTGTATGTGGACTTGACAACTTTATAAAAGGTGATATTTAAAAATAATGAATAAATGTTTTTCAAGGTGTTACCAGGAGTCTGAGTTCAGTACCTGATCTGCATGTCTCAAGCTTATCAATCCATTCACATACTATCCTCTAAAAACTTCGGTTATTCCGAGTCAAAACAGTTTGGTGTTTGGAATGGTCAAATTTGTAAATCGAAAGCTGTGTCATACCGATTTCTGACGTGATTCTGTAATTATTCCTGCGTAGTTTTGTGACATAATGTTTGCATTTAGGTGTACAAAACTGCCTGCCTGTCTGATTGCTATACATTCTTTTCTTACTTGAGACTACTAAAATAGTCTGAAAGATGTGGTGAAAGATTTAGAAAAACAAATATATATATATATATATATGTCTTATGGCTTATATGTCCTTGGACATATGTATCCAAAGAAGAACACACATAACTTGCAAACACATTTGAAAATTTATCATAAACCGTGTTCTGTAGAAGCACGAATTTGTAAATCCTTTCAGGATCAAGAAGATATTTAGCAGTAATAAAATAGACTTTCCCTCTTTTGGCAATAAAATAAGGTAAATATTATGAATTCTGGAGTAATAGATGTGAGTCCTCAGTTAAGTGAACGTTATACTTTATAACTGGGCCTGTTGATGCTTTGGTTCCTGGACTTCAGCGAGTTTGGTCTGCCATTTTGTGGATTCTTCTGACTGAGAATTTCTTACTAAGCAGGTTTATATAAAATCTGTTCGAGACTAATAGATTGATGCTATCTACTGAGATAATTCCAGTGTTTGTTTTTTCTTCTTTTTTTAACTTTTTTTTTTTTTAATCCAGGGGTAAAATTTGGCCATAAATCTACAGCTACGGTATCCATGTGGTCCTAATTGTGTGCATCCGTCTAAAGTCTAGGGATCTTTTGATAGTGAAAAAGCCACTGGGTCTACCATCCATTAAACAAATCTCAGCTTCTTTCCTTGGTCAACGTGACTAAGAGAGAGAGCCAAATGCAGAACAAAAATGCAGCATTAAATTACTGGAAAAAAAGTGCTTTATATATACAATGTAATTACTGTTTTTCTGCTAGAAAAGTACAAGGACAGTAATAATTATTTACATTACAGTATGGATATGGAATTGACGAATCTTAGAGGTTGCATTAAAAAGAAAGTAGTAAATAGTGTGATGTGTGATTGACCATCTTTTGTTGCCCACATTTATAAAGCTGCCGAATAATAAGCTGTTAATGAATGAATGGATAAGATGTTGTGCCTTTTTTTTTCAGGAAATGGTAAACTTTACATGTTTGGCAGTAACAACTGGGGCCAATTAGGACTAGGATCAAAGAGTACTGTCAGCAAACCAACATGTGTTAAAGGTTTGTTCGGTATTTTTTTTATCTTTTTGAAAGGTGACCCACATCAAAAAGTGTTTTGTAATAGGCGGTTCCAAAATAACTAATTCTGCTTTCTTTACTCATCACATGCTCAGTATATTATTGCACAAGCACATAGAGATAGTTTAAAAGGATCCCGGATTGATTTTCTGTCACTTTCAGATTCTAAGTACTTTACAGCATAAAGTTTTCTTCAAATAGTTACCCTCCTACCTTTTCAGATAGTTACAATCCTTTCTTTTTAAAGATTGTCATTTTATATGAGAATAATAAAAATATTTACATTAAAATACAAAATTTATATATTATTTTTATTTTTTAATATTTCACATTAATATTTTCTGTGTATGTTCATGTAGATTGCAAGGAAATTTATCCAGTGCCTTATCTCTGCCATATTGTGCATGTGTTAGAGATCAAGGGTTCCAATACCGTTGTATATAACGTTTATATCATATTTATGTTTGTTCTTTTCTAAACTATAAAAATCAGACGGGGTCTTTCTACAAGCACCACTATATTTTTAGCAAGTGTAAGAAGTGCCTGAGGGGGGCATAAATGTTATTTTTTTTATAAAATCTGAAAAAAACAGTAGAATAAATGCCCATATGTTGTTATATTTTTGCAGTACATTTTCATCTCACTTGGTTATCTGTTTAATCTTTCCTGGGCACTTTTATCTGGTCAAGCAAAACCACTAAGTCAGTATTTTTCCTTGTCCTCTTACTTGTGTCAGATCAGACCCATGCCATTAATGTCTTCCTCCAAACCATTAAATCTGTTTATTCTCATCCTTTCTGTCAGCAAGTCAGTCTGTTAGTTTATCATTAAAAACAAATTAATGAGTTTGCTTGAACTCATTCCATCCTATTTTAGTGTATTTTGTTGGTTTTTTTTCTGCTCCTTTTACTTCAGAGGAAAATAGCTGCTCTCTGGTTCATATCTTTTGTCAAACGTGAAAGGCCGATTCCTACCTTGGCTTAAATGGATTGAGTATCTATCTTTGTTTGAACTATCAGATTGCAAAGGACAATAAAAGTCAAAGAGAATATGTCAGGAATTCAAAACCAGCTTGGCTTCCATTGAAAAATGTGGCAAGGCAGGAGTATTTGTCTTCTCTTGGCAGTGGACGCCTGGAGAAGGCCCTGGACTTTTCTCATGAGCTTTCAGGCATTGCTTGGCTTTGGCAGTGTGGTTGCAAAGACACACTTTTCAACTTCTGCTCGGACAAAATTGTCCTGACCACATGTTTTCTTAAAAAAAAAAAAAAAAAAAAGAGAGAGGAGGTCTTGGATTTGACTAGAAGCTAACAAAATGAGTTATGGGCAAAAAATACCCAAAATGTTGTAAATATTGCAGATCTGTTGCAATTTGCTAGCGTAAGGGGGAGGAAGAATAGGGAGCACAGGCTAATGCAGGAGTCATTAAGATCATCTCTGAGGCAGGAGGCAGAGCACAGGGATAAAAAGCAACAAATTAAGAATGTAAGAAGAGGCCAACATTGGATATGCTACGGTTTCCAGTCTGGCTGTGGTAGGTGTCAAGAGAATAGGCAGGGCTCTGAGTTTGCAGGATTTATGTTTGTGTCTGCGTGATGCACCAGACACAATTCACACTTAGGGAGCATAATCTGAGTGTTATAAAGCTCAGCCCTTTATAGGTTGGGTTGGAAGGACTGAGTAAGACTTTGTGTAAGGAGTTATGGTGACCAGCTTTGTCGTAGACCAGTGTAGTGGAAAAGCAACTATAAAGTCATATTATGCAAAAGTAATCCTGGTTTAAAAGCATCAAGAATATTGTATAGGGCAAATAGACACAGTAGAGGAAAGATAAATTGTTAAGGCAACGATCACTCGTTGGAGAGAGGAGGGAAAGGCCAGTAAATTTGTTTTTCCTCTGTTTTTGAAATGCAGTGGACTTAGCCTGGGAGAAGAGGCACCCCTGTAATCTCTGTTTCTCACCAGAATAACTCCGCATAACTCCTCTTACACACATTACCCATCTTCACTGTGACCAGGCTGCTGAGAAATACGTGCGTGGGTGGTATTTGACACAGGGAGAGCGTCATTGTAGCTACAAGATTTTTAGGCCTATGTCTCTTTCCCTTTCTTAGGGAGAATGATGGTTTATTAAGTGATGTGCTAAGCTTAGATAGCCAACTATATTGTTGCACCTTTACATTCCATTGGTAAAAATATGAAAGCAAACAAATAACTTACTATAGAGCAGAGCAACATTTTGTTGTTGAACCATCCATCTATCAACCTGTTGCTAATTTTTCCTCCTTAATTTATAGCTTTAAAGCCAGAAAAGACTAAACTTGCTGCTTGTGGAAGAAACCACACTTTAGTTTACACAGGTATGTAATATTATATATGTATTGAAGGTAGATTTCTTCTTTAAGTTTCATGCAAAACTACATGAGGAAACCCAGAAGTATTTAGGAAAGAAGAAAAAATCAAAAAGATGCTATTAAGATGCATTTATTAGACAGTTCTTCTTTGAATGCTTGTATTATTCCACACCAAGAAGTGTGTATAGTAGTATTGTATAGGAAATTGCTGGTGATGGAAGGAAGAATAAATTTGTTGCCTACATTTGGAGTGCAATTAACAATTATTAACTTTCCTTTAAAGGACTGTAAAAGTATATTATTATTTTTATATATCTGTACTCAAATTTATGTTTTGAAGTCTTCTAAAGTTTATTGCATTTCAGTTAGATGAGGGATTTTGCTATTTCTTTAACAACGTGCTTTATTTAGTTTTAAATAAATAAATCATAAATTTAAACTGAAAAATATTCTTTTTAGAGAGACAGTGTACAGAGATTTGATGCACATGTTTGTCAGGCTTCTAAAATTTATGGAAAGGAATAGCAAACTTTGTGTTTGCAATCCTTGTGCTTACAGTGATGTTGTAAGGAATGTTGTTTATTAGAGGATTTATACATGCAGATACCTTGAGCCCTGGAAGTAAGATTATTAAAATAAAGCAGCACATTTTAATAACAGTTGCTTATGCCAGACTGCTCAGGGTAAGTATTAGTCACCTCTAGTGTATCCTTTGCCTAGGTAATTTGTGGCTGTTTATACAGCAAGAGCCATTAATCAATTATATGACAGTTGCTTATCACATTTGTGTCTGGGTTTATGTTATTAATGGGCCTTATCTTTTTCATCATAGATGAGCACTTAAAATGTGAAACATGCTAAAATTAAACATATAAATCTTGAACTTCTCTTAAGGTAAAGATGAGAATCATCAGCTGTAATCTCAATCTTAAGATTGTAAAACAGGATAAAGAGCTACTTAGATAAATAGAAAATGATTTAAATAGTGAAATGAGTAAAATAATTCTGATAACCTATGCAAAAGTGTATTTCATTCACAGCATTCAAAACTATGAAATTATGCATTTTTTATGTACTAACATGGCTTTAATTTTCTTGCCTGTGATATCATTCTTCATTTTCCTCCTGTTTTATCTTAAATTAAATTGTGCAGTCTTTGGGAAAACAAATTCTGCTGTCTGCCGGGGCCACTGGAAGTCACTTTGTCAGAACTCTTGAAGTACTTCAGATTGTATTTACTTTTTAGATCCATCTCCAAGATGGTGGAGAAACTCCTTTGGTCTAAGTAAATGAAAAAGCTTTATCATGTTCCCAATGAAGTGTATGCAGGAATACCTCCTTGCTAGTTACAACACAAAATCTGCCTTCAACTTTAGAATATCCAGGGCAGTAGATGCCAACTTTTCTGTTTTTTTTTTTTCTATAGAAAAATTAAATGACTTCCCCCAGTCATATTTCTGATATCTTGCTGCCACTGATGAGAATGACCTCATTCTGTGTTTTACATATGCTTTTCTGTGTGCAGAAAAAGGAAATGTATATGCTGCTGGAGGTAACAGTGAAGGTCAGTTGGGATTAGGTGACACAGAGGAAAGGACCACGTTTCATTTAATTAGCTTTTTTACCAACCAGCACAAGATCAAACAGCTAGCAGCTGGATCATACACCTCAGCAGCAATAACTGGTAAGAGAAACAGCTAGTAAAATCTATGAATATGCTCTCAGCTTGGTGTTCCAGGGAAACTTGTATTTTAGCACTGTCTGCATGTGTGTGCGTTTTCTGTGCCTTTCTGCTTTCCTAGTCATCCCAGTAATTATTTTTAGCCAATTCCTATTTCTACAAAATCTGACAAGGATGGCAGTCTCAGTAACTCCCCACAATATTTGTGAAACTACTTTACTGGGTCAAGAGAGAACATTTTGTACTGACAGCCATATACAGTGGGATCTAAGCATGTAAGTACTGAGAATTTACACAAAGGACAGATAGTAATAAATGCCCCCGAAGTGGAAAGAGCTTCAGTTAGTTACCGTGAAAGGCAGCCTCAAAGCATGAATCTCAAGAAAACTCAGTTTCTTTAATTCGACTTTCTATTACAACTGTTTTGGTCTACAGCTGCGGGCTCTACAACTGTGTAATTACTGATTCTCAGAGAGACCTAACCTAGGCGGGCTTTCTCCAGTGGCAAAATTGTACAATGGGGACTTGATGAAATCCATGTGGCTATATTACTTTCAACCACTGGATGTGTGCTCTTTTATTCCCCTGTAATCTAATTTTTGTGTTTCGCAAGCCTGGCTATAGAGCAGCTGTTTCTGTACGTGCTTAGGATAAATTATTCAAGCTGTAATTTCAGAATGTAACAGAGAGCATAAGAAACTGTAAGGGAGATACCAGGCTGTCCTTCTTTGGTTCATAGTTTTTTTGTAACATGGACTAAGATCTCATTAACCCAGTAGGTGCTGGGTTTTGCTAATTGCAGCTTATTTTTCACCAATAAATACAGAGAGAGAAGATTTCTGTATACATCTCTATCTAAAGATTTTTCATCCTTTTTTGTTTCTTATTTTTAGCCTTTTATGCTTTTTTTTTTTTGCTTGTTGTTGCTGCTATTGATACCTTTGTTTTTCCTAGCGTTGTACTAAATTGATACCTAGCATTGTACTAAATATCACTTCATGTCTCTATGATGACATTTAGCAGTCATACATACATTTTATGAAAGTCTTTTTAATGGATAGATTAACTTCTTATTAGTGTACTTTTGGGTTTAAGGCCATTCACTTTCTCTGTCTTTATTTTAGAGGATGGGCAGCTTTTTATGTGGGGTGACAATTCAGAAGGTCAGATTGGCTTGGCTAATGAAGCCAGTGTCTGTGTCCCTTGTCAAGTGGTTGTTGGAAAACCTGTTTCCTCTGTATCCTGTGGATATTATCACTCTGCCTTGATAACAGGTAAGAAAATGAGAACAGTCATTACTACACTTAAGTCAGTGGTTCTCTTGTTGTTGTTTTGGCAAAGGTAGCTCATGAGCCATTAATTACTTCCAAAATCTGCTATGTTACTTGTTATAAATGCTGTTGTGGAAGAGAAGATTATCTATCTAATTGTCTATGACCCTGGGAAATTATACCAGAGACAACTTCTCTGAAATGTAATCCATAATTTACTTGGGAAGCTCTGATGTAATCCATTATATATTTGTATATTTATGATTGAATTAGTAATAATGTGAGAAAAAATACTATGAATATTTTGCATTGGCGCAATGTTTTACAAAAAGATGTTAGGAAGAATGAATCTTACCACTCTAATTTTGTTTTCATGAAAGCTATGACAAACGCAGATTAATACTATTCTTTCAGTAATACAACTTTTGAGATGTTGTCTGTGGATCAAGTAATCTTCATCTTCCCTAGAAATGCAAATATTGAATAGACTTTTATATGTTTTGAGTAAAAATTCATTTCATCAGCCAGCATCGCAACATGATTGTCAAGGTTCAATGTTATATGTTGAATTTTAAGTTTTGAAGTAAATTAAATAAATAGGTAATATACAAATCTGAATTTTCTGAGGAGACACAAATGTTGCCATGAGCCGGCCTCTGATTTCCAAACCAAACCTTGTCTTTCTGCGGCTCTTGTTGTTTTTCAAAATGATGATGCCTCTCTCTTCTTTTTTAATAATGCCAATGTTGTTCAGTTTATCAATCAATAATGTTAGTATTAAACATAAGCATGAATTAATTCTTCCAAGGCGTATAGATTTACATGATTAAACTTTAAGGTTTAGTCACATCAGAATAATGAAAGATTTCAAAGGATTAATATTTTTCATTGGCAAGATTTTAATGGGTACCCAGGAGCTAACCCTTCAGATGACTTTCTCAGTTTACTTGATAAATGGTAATTTTTCACATGCGGTCTCTATATACCAATCTGAGAACATGCCATTAACAGAAGAATTAATTGGGTGAAATATGAATTAGATGTTACACCAGAAAAAGTTGTGTGCCACTTTTATTATATATATTTTGTTAGAATAAAAGAAGTGCCAAATGACAGATCAGGAACTGAATCTCTATTAGGAAAAGCACAACTCCCTGAACTTGAAATGAAGGATATCCTTACTTCTAGGATGCAGTAGGAAGGTGTGCATGTCACCTCCCAGACAAGAGCTGAAGTGGTGACAGGCTACCCTGGGATGTGACAGAAGTTCTCATCCTCATAAGGAGGTGAGGGCAGGGATCTAAAGCGTGGAGGGAACAGCCTGTGCCAAATGCTCTAATGAAGGAGAACCTTTTAGTGGAGGGAAATGAGAAGAAGGGATTAGGGTAGCAGCTGAATGAGAAAATTGGGATGATATATGTTGCAGGGCTCAACTGATGAGCCCTGGAACATATGGAGCCTGGAAACCATATGGTTTCCTTTTGTAGTGTATTTACATTTGACATCAGCAGAACACTGACAAAGCAAACTGGTAGGAGAACAAGCACATACAGGTTAAAATATAAAAGGTGGTTAAGAAGTACATAGGCTGGTCACAGAGTGCCCTCTCCAGGGCAAGATGCTCATCAATAAAAGCAAACATGAACTTTTTAGTAACAAGAAGAGCACAGCTAGAGAAAGTTTACAGCATTTGGTCATCTTAATTTGTACTGCAGTTCCACCAAAGAAATCTGGTAGCATCTAGAAGTTACAAGAACACTTGTCACTGGAACTTCAAGTTCTCTAGAAACTTCTGGTTTCCTTTTCAGTTCTTCCTCTTTAGGACCTTTTTTTTTTTTTTTGCAATATCACTTTTCTTTTTCTTCCTTTGCCACTTAGGACATTAGAACCTTATGTAAACAAACATACTGAGGTTTGAAGCATGTCTCACACAAAGTGGCAGAAAAATAAATGAAAGAGCTTAGAGAATGTAGTGATACTGTTTGAGGCCACATACAGATCTTTCCTTGACTAATCTTTGGTGACATTCATTCAAGAGGAGAGTGCTCAGCTTGGCAAGCACACACAGAATCAACGAATCACAGAGTGGTTGAGGTTGGAAGGGACCTCTAGGGATCATCCAGTCCAACCCCCTGCTCCAGCAGGGACACCCAGAGCACGGGGCACAGGGCGGCATCCAGGCGGGTTTGGAAGATCTCCAGAGAAGGAGACYCCACAGCCTCCCTGGGCAGCCTGTGCCAGGGCCCTGTCACCCTCACAGGAAAGAAGTTCTTCCTCCTGCATAGCTCCTTTGTCTACTTTCTCTGTGCCAGAAAGGGACTGGATACAGTGGATCTCTTTTTTTTTTTTTTTTTTTTTTTTTCCTGCTAGGACTGTTACTTACAGAAGCAAGGTTAGGCAAGATTCTTACTGTGGAAAAAGTCTTCAGAGAGCGCTCCGTGGGTACCCTGAGTTCCTTTCACTTATTTTCTTTGTGACTGTTTTTAAGCGGTGTTTGAAAAGCTCATCCATTCTACCTCCATACACACTTTGCCTCCATACACACAATTCCTGTGTTTGAGGTGGTTTCAACAAACTTGACCTGGAATAAATGCTTCATTTTTTTTTCATAATTTATGCAAGGACTCCTGGAGTGATTAAATTCAGTTACCTACTTCACTTCTCTGCTATCAGCCGCATTTCACATCCTCTCTCTTCTGCAATATTTGTATTTCCCCTTGACAGCCAAAGGTAGTTTTCCGTTTGCTTTTCCATCCCTGCCATGCTCCTGTGACCTAAGGTTTAGTGACACAGTATGTTCCACATTAGGGGCAGCTTAAGCTATGAGAATGTGAGAAGATTCACTTGAGAGAGGAAAGCCATGACCCACGTTTGGTGGAAGTGCTGTGAACTGAATGGTCTTCAAATGCACGTGTGCTGCACACATATAATTATACTCAAAACTTTTCTCTGTTTGGCTGCATCCTTTTTATGCTTGGTAGCTGTTTTTGCATGATTTTAGACTACTTTTGCCCAAGAGGGATGTGTAATGTATTCCGAAATTGCTTTAGTAAATGGGTTTATCTTTGTTAGCTGGATTATTAAGTCAAAAAATGTAATAAATTTGATTAGTTTGGGGAGTCAATGAAAGCTTGACCATTTGAATCTGTAATCCTATTAATTAGGCAGTGATTGGATTAATGCTTGCAGCACAGTAGTGTTCCAAAAGAAATGCTGTGGCCTCTTCAAAGAGAATTGCATGAGTAGTTAACTCCCAAGTGCCTTTTGGGGGTTTATGAACTTGTTACATGACAGATGGAATAATATTAAAACACTGATACTTGCCTTCCAAAAATTCCAGTCATGTTTTTTCTTCTTTCACTCAACAAAAGCGAGAGAATCCTTAATAAAATAATCCGAATGGGAGTGTGGATTCCTTTTGTTGTCAACGGAATGGTTTCATTGTGACTCTACAGCTGCTTTTTTTGTGAATTGGGCAAAAATAAAAAGTGAGCCATCAAAAAACTGTGAAGTATCAGTTGCCTAAGCATATTCAGAGCAATATGCAGAGTGTATGCAAGAAATAAAGCAGAAGACCAAACCAGACAGAGAAGCCTCAGCACAGACCAACTAGTTTTGTTTAGAAGTAAAATGAAATAAGTTTCTCTGCAGCTGGGGTTATCTGCTGCTTCTAAAGTAACACAAGTTGAAATAACTAAAGAACATCTCTTTGGAAAAAAAGGAGTATAGAAGAATGCATTGTAAGTTATCTCCACACAGATGCATGCATACACATGAACTGGGATAATTTTATAAGTTTAACTCCAAATATTTTTTGTGTGCATGAAAGAGAAAATGTCAGGAATCGTTGAAAAAAGTAAGTATGACATTAGGTTTCAAACTTTATATTAAGGGAAGATTCAACAAAATGATGTATTTCTTATACCAGTTTTGACTTCATCGTTTGAGTTTTTATTTCTGAGAATGAGAAGGTTCCTTCCTTGAGTGCTTCTTTTGCCTAGGTTTTGATAAGATTCACCTATCAAATGGACTTAAGGACTTAATCATGTCCTTTTTTTCATGTTGTAATTTTTAAGTGAGTTTTAATAATTAGACTTATTTGCTTTGCAGAACATACATGCAACTTCAGTCTGCAGCTTTAGTAATAGAACATAAGTATACGGTGTGTAATGGTGCGATTAGGTAAAATATCCTGTAATATTCATAGAGTTTTCTGTTCCACTGATTTGTGTCTGCAGAAGCCTTGACACCCCCAACTTTTTTCTGAATGTGTGTTGGGAAACGTGCTATGTTCTGTATTTTGACAGGAGATGGTGAGCTGTACACTTTCGGAGAACCTGAGAATGGCAAACTGGGCTTGTTGCCCGAGCAGCTGAAGAACAGCAGAGTCCCACAGCCTGTACCAGGAATTCTGGAAAGAGTTAACAAGGTTGCTTGTGGTGGAGGACACACCGTGGTGCTTACAGGTGTGCAAATTACCCGGCTTTTGTTATTGCCAGGTTTTATTATATTGCTTAGTAATCTCAGTTTACCTGGAAGAATAGACCTCAGTTCTACTGAAATGTAAGATGATCAGTGTTTGTTTTCTCTGAATAGCTTGAAAGTGATACTGGGAGATGAGGGGAGGGGAGTTTTATGGTAAAGCACCCCTTCACTAATAAATTTTAAATGACATTGAATATGTGATATTGAGGAAATCACTTTCCAACTAGCTGCCTGTTAATGCTGATAAAGAGATGTATGGTCTACTAGATGCCTGAGTGGTTTAAGCGGCCCTGTTGTAGTACTGAGTTTACATGAGGCTTTGAGCAGAATCTTTAACATATCAAATTATAACGAACTATTACAGATATAGTGCATTAAATATACCATACAGGTATACAAAACTCAGTGTGTAAAACTCATATATTAGTTCACAGGATTTCAGGTAGAGTTCTTTAAGATGAAATATGTGAATTACATTACTAGACTAATAGTCGTGTGCCAGTGGTAAATTAAATTTTTAAAGAGAAAAATGTGAGGTATAGCTAGCTCAGTTGCTACAGATTCTAACCTAAATTGTTTTGTTTCTTTTTTTTTTTTTTTTTTTCTATATTTATCTAGTCTTTCGTGTGCATTTGGGCTACAAACCTTTCTGGCACATTCTGAAGTATCTCCATCAGCTCAAATGAATGGAAAGTTTTTTGTGTGATTAGAGCTGTTTCCATCAGTTTACAGAGGATATCAGAGTACTGGAGTAAAAAGGCATGTGTCATGCCTTTGAGATGGTGCCTTTCTTATCCTTAGCAATAAGGAAGATAAAACAAACCTCTGATCGTTCCATACGTGCTGGAGCAGTGACTCCACTAACCAAGTATTCAGTCTTTGCTAGGGATGGAGGAGGACAAAGAGTTATGAGAGGCTCCTTAGCTGTGAAATCTGAAGAGTACTGAAGCACTGAGAGGCTTCTGTTAACTAACCTTCTGCTAGTTTTGTTCATCATGTGATTTTGGATAATCCTTAATGTGCCATATATGAATTATTTTATTTTCACCGCGGTATCAGAGAAGTATCAGAGAAAGTGCTAGCGAATTACTTTTATAAGAAAGACATTTTGTTAATTTGGATGGTGAGTAAAGGTATTATCTTAATAAATTACAATGCAAATTCACAAAAAAAATAAAATGCTAGTGTATTCCTAGAAATTTGAGAGTTTGTGTGAAAAGGGGAAAACAACAGAAAGACATGGCACTAGTCTTCAAGTGCCAAGCAGGTTGCTTCTTGGAGGAAGGCAATAACCTTTTCTCTTTGTGAGATCTTGGAGTAGAACTTCAATTACAGCAAGGTTTAAGTTGGATATTAGTTAAAGTTCTCTAACTGAAAGGTAAACCACAATTAAAAATGGTCTGTATAGAGAATTTGTGGCAATTCAATGACTGTGATATCTCTGTGATAGTGAGGACCCAGGGAAATCTAGAGCAGTCTGTTGGCTTTCTCTTTCCAGAAAGCAAGTTGTTTTGTTTTTTTTTTTTTCTGTGATCTGATGGCAGAGTTCTTACCATGGTTGCATTACAGCCTTTCTCATAAACATTAATCTCTATTATCTATCTTCTGTTTTTCCTGGCAGCGCCTGGTTCTGGGAGCCCCAGTAATTGAAATAGAAATCTCTTTCCTTCTTACCCAGTTTCCCTGATCATCTTGTTGATGCCACTGTATGTTCATGAAAATCTGTGTTTTCAGTGGACTAAGTAATCATAAACCTGTAAAGGAAGAAAAGGGAATTTGGCTTGGCAATAGATGATTTCTAAAATATTATCTTTGGCTTATAATGAATTCTGCAATTGTATAGGATTCCCGTAATAAACTCTCTTAATAACCCCAAATGCAAGAGCTGTATAAACAAATAAGATGTATAAACATCACTCCTTAAGTCTATACTTTTAAAATACTCTATAGGCATCTGTTGTTAATCTTTATGTTGTTATGAAACAAAAATTTCTAAAATGTAAACTGAAAATCTAGTTGAGAGGAATTGTAAATAATTTGATGTGGTATTGCACTGCAAGCCACTGGAGAGAATAAAGGCTGAAATGATGTGCTGGAAAAGATTATGAGTAATGATAATTCAAGCTGCAAGATTTCGGGTGAGTTAAAACTCCTCTAGGAAATGTATGAAGAGGAAATAACAGTAGCCAGTCCAGGAAATAATGCAAATATTCATCTACATTTGAAATCATTTGTCTGTCTTCTTCCACCAACACACAGTCTTACCCTTGCAGTATTTTATGTCATAAAATGTATTTCTCTATATGAAATTAGATTATCATTATTAGGAAAAAATTACCATAAATTTGAGGCAAGCAAATGTATAAATCCTAGCAGTATTTTATAGATCATAAAGTAAGTTCTGCACAAAGAATTAGATTATCATTATTGATTTTTTTTAAACCATAAATCTAAACCTCACCAATAGAGATTTTTTTAATGGTATTTGGTGTAATAAAATCACATTACACCAAATGACTATTACAGAGATTTAGTTGGAAGTTGTAGATTCAGATGACATCAGCGCTATAGTGAAATCTCTGGAGGCAAAAGCTAGAAATAGAACCTGGAGGCAGAGTATAAAAGCTGAAAAACAAGGGGATTGAACAAAAAAAAAAGATTATAGTAAGCAGCGTCTTTTACTAAGTAAGATTTACTTGACTGGGAAAATAGCTTTTATAATAAGGGACAAATAAGATAGAGATTCAGTGCTAGGCTTGCTGGCAGTCCAGTGACAGAAGGTCTGGTTGAGCCAGGAGAAGAGGAAAGCAGGATTCTGTAGAAATGCCTTTGCCTAAAGGTTAATAGTTGTTATGGTAAAACTGATAGTTCAGACGGATTTTTTTAAAATATAACTCAACTCTTACTCAATTAACTATGAAGTAGTGGTTCTTGAACAAGGGTAGAGGACAAAGGAAATACTGTCTCAGGTGAAAGATGCTTTGTCGGGAGTTTTAACATGCAGAATGACTCATACAGTATTTGCTGCTTAATATTTGGGAGAAGGAGGAGATTAGAACACCGTAATCATGTCAAAAGTGAGTGTGGCAGATACGCAGTACAGGCTTTCCACCAGAAATGTAACTTGGAGTCGATATGGAATTATGTATTGCCTTGTCAGGTGAAGCTGCATGACCACAAGTTCAGAATTTTGGTAAGAGATGGAGCTTCAAAAGAAGTCAAGCAAAAATATGTTTACCTTTATCAGCTATTAGGTATATTAGTCTCCTAAATTAAGAAACTATGCAATAGATGAACAAATTCTGAATTTTATGTTTCACCTTATGTGGAAAAAAAGCACTGCTTGGCTTTGGTAGGACAGTATCTACTGATCCAGTTTTCATCTTTTCGGGATCTTTCCATTTTTCCAAATATGTCATTTCACTCCGAAAAATACTGTGTGAATTTCTAGCTATTGCATATTCCACTACTTCATCTGTCTGATTCAGATGCGAAATGAGGAAGGCCAAAGCCTGGGTGGAATTAGAGCTGGCGAGGCATGTCAGGGACAACAGGAAGGGTTTCTATAAGTATGTCAACAGCAAGAGGAAGACGAGGGAAAATGTTAGTGCACTGCTGAATGGGGAAGGGGCCTTGGTGACGGAGGATGCCGAGAAGGCAGAGTTACTAAATGCCTTCTTTGCCTCTGTCTTTACTGCTAAGACGACCCCCCATGAACTGCAGGGCACAAATGGAAGAGATGTAAATGGGCTAGAGGAAGACCTTCCATCGGTTGAGAAGGATTGAGTTAGGGATCACTTAGGCAAACTGGCCACTCAAAAATCTATGGGCCCAGATGGGATGCACCCAAGAGTGCTGAGGGAACTGGTCGAGGTTATTGCTCAGCCTCTCTCCATCATCCTTGAGAGGTCCTGGAGAGCAGGGGAGGTGCCCGAGGACTGGAAGAGAGCCAACGTCACTCCAGTCTTCAAAAAGGGCAAGAGGGAGGAGCCAGGCAATTACAGGCCGGTCAGCCTCACCTCTGTCCCTGGAAAGGTGATGGAGCGGTTCATCCTAGAGAGAATGTCCAGGCATATGGAGGAGAAGAAGGTGTTGAGGAGCAGTCAGCATGGATTCACCAAGGGGAAGTCATGTCTGACGAACCTCATAGCCTTCTATGATGGGATGACAGGCTGGCTGGACGAGGGGAGAGCCGTGGATGTTGTCTACCTTGACTTCAGCAAGGCTTTTGACACTGTCTCCCATAATATCCTCATACGGAAGCTCTGGGAGAGTGGACTAGATGAGTGCATGGTGCAGTGGATCGCGGGCTGGCTGGATGGCAGAGCTCAGAGGGTGGTGATAAATGGGGCCGAGTCCAGTTGGAGGCCTGTGGCCAGTGGTGTCCCCCAAGGGTCAGTACTGGGCCCAGTGCTGTTCAATTTGTTCATCAATGACCTGGACAAGGGCACGGAGTGCACCCTAAGCAAGTTTGCAGATGACACCAAGCTGGGTGGAGTGGCCGACACTCCGGAGGGCTGTGCTGCCATCCAGAGGGACCTGGACAGGCTGGAGAGTTGGGCAGAGAGGAACCTCCTGAGGTTCAATAAGGACAAGTGCAGGGTCCTGCACCTGGGGAGGAATAACCCCAGGCACCAGTACAGATTAGGGGTTGACCTGCTGGAGAGCAGCTCCACGGAGAGGGACCTGGGAGTCCTGGTTGACACTAAGTTAACCATGAGTGAGCAGTGTGCCCTCGTGGCCAAGAAGGCCAATGGGATCCTGGCTGCATCAGGAGGAGTGTTGCCAGCAGGTCAAGGGAGGTGATTCTGCCCCTCTACTCAGCTCTGGTGAGGCCGCACCTGGAGTACTGGGTGCAGTTCTGGGCTCCCCAGTATAGGTGGGACATGGAGCTTCTTGAGAGGGTCCAGAGAAGGGCAACCAGGATGATTAAGGGAATGGAACATCTCTCGTATGAAGAGAGGCTGAGTGAGCTGGGCCTGTTTTCTCTGGAGAAGAGAAGGCTGAGAGGGGATCTGATTAACATGTATAAGTTCAGGAAGGGAGAATGCAGGGAGGAAGGGGACAAGCTGTTCTCACTGGTGGCCAGCAATAGGACGAGGGGTAATGGCCATAAGCTGGAGCACAAGAAGTTCCGTCTCCAGGTGAGGAGGAACTTCTTTACTGTGAGGGTGCCAGAGCCCTGGCACAGGCTGCCCAGGGGGGTTGTGGGTCTTCCAAACCCGCCTGGATGCCACCCTGTGCCACATGCTGTAGGTGTGCCTGCCGGAGCAGGAAGGTTGGACTAGCAGGAAGGTTGGACTAGATGATCTCTAGAGGTCCCTTCCAACCTGGACTATTCTGTGATTCTGTGATTCTGTGATTTAATGTAGGAATAGGATAGGATACAATATCCCATGGAGAAGCAGTTGTGCATCCTGGCTCCTTTCTTCTCATCCATTCTATTTAGGACTTATCAAATTAGAAGAAAGCCTAATTCAGTTATCTTGCTGAATATGAGACAAGTTTCTTCCTGACTCTCATACTTGATTAGTGTATTCCAAATTACTTCTTTTCTTTTTTTATTATTGATATCTCTTCTATTTGCAATTTTGCATGCAAAACATTAAAAACTGCTTGGAATCTCTGCAGCAGTGTATCAGAGTGAATAGAAAGCTGTATACATTAAAATAGTGCATATTGCTGTGAAACTCCAAAATGGGAAAACCATATTTTTTTTTCTAGAAAACAGAAAATGGAGCTGCTGAGAGCAACGAGAAGAAAAAAAAACTTACTTTTTAAGGATTGAAAATTTGAATATATTACTAGAAACCATCCTTTTTAAAAGTCTTCTTGTTATTTTTGCCTTTTGTTTACACTTGTTCTGGAAAATAAGCAACATAACACAGTTAATTATTTGCCACAAATGTGTTCTCACTGTAGAAGTACCAATCTATCCATTCTATGACAGTTCATCAGCTTATCCAAGAAACTCATATCCTCATCCCAGATGACTTCCCTCACTCAGAGATTAAAATGGCATGCATCTGCTACCCAAGGGTCTTGCAAATACTTTCTACTGGAAAGAAATATAAGAAAGGAGCAGTCCCGATCTCTGTACTTTTTAACAAGCTCTTAAAAAATGAATAATAACTATTTCTGAACCAAGAAGGTTGGAAAAGCAGAAACAGATGATTTGGTGTAGCCTTTATATCATCCGTTTTTTCAGATGAGGATGGACTGTGTGAAAATAATCCTCTGCATAGAAGGATATATTACCTCTTTTTATTCTTTGAAGGGAAGGAAAGCCAACATGCTTCAAAGGAGAAAGTGAAGCAGCCCTTGGAGAACAGATAGTTTGACATCATACAGAACATTAATGCACTAATATGTAAACTTTGGGGTTTTTCCTCTTCTGTCTCAAGTTTGGGGTTTTTTTTAAGGAAAAAAAAGTCTAGATATTATTTTGAAAGAGAATGGGAAGGATGAAAAGTCTCTACCTTTTTGTGACAGAGCTGAGAAACTGCTGGATGTAGGATTATTTAGATGTATCAAACTGCCTGTTAAGTTTGTATACTCTTTATCCTGAAATCCTCAAATCCAATTTACTCATTCAGGTAAAACTGAGTATTTAAGCACATGTTTTTACAGTAATGTTTTTCAGTATAAGCTGTCTAAAAATAAAATATGATAGGAGTAGCTCCTTGACATACTAATAGTGAGGTGGTTTAAGGGAAATAAAGCTATATGGAGAGCTATTAGAATACCTGTGTTTTTCTGTTATTCTGGGGGTTTTTAACTTTGCACAATTTGAAATATATGGGAAGCCATTTGTGGCTCTTACAAAGGTTCTTGGAACAGCCTCAGTTCTTCCATCACGTAGCCTGAGGGACAGAAAGAATCTGACAACTACAAAGGTTTTTGCCTGGAATTATTTCATTTGCAGGGACAACTACAACTGCAATTAAATGTACTGCAGTGAGGGAACAGATACCAGGAAACAGCCCTGCTCTTCAAAAAAAAAAAAAAAAAACCACCACATTCCCAATGCTGAAGTGCAGGGGCATTGTTTGGAATATAAATTAAATAAATTTGGAAGTGATTGGATTCTGGGCAGGCTTAGAAACCACTTCTCCTCATCCTTTAGTGCCCCTTCTCGTGGGATGCTACGGAGGCAGTTCTTATAAAGGCACCCCAAATTGTTTTTAGATTGCTTTGTTCTCCCCTAGGAAATAGATTCCTGTACCTCAAGTTTGTCTCCGGGAATATCTTCCTCTAAATCTTCTTTGTGAAAGAAGTATTCTGTATATCAATATAGGATTAAAGCTAATGAAAAAAACCTCCAATTTAAAAAAATTACATTAATCAGATAAGACTGTATAATTTGAAAATCGTAAGATCTGCCTGCAAAGAAAGATTAAGACAAAGGCAGATTTTTAAATTGGAACTTATGGAATCAGCCATCCTGAGAAATCAATTTATTGAAATGAAGATGAAATTTTCTTAGCTCACTTAGAAAAAAAAATCTCTCTTTTGGAGTTTCTTGATTCTTATCAGGAAAGTAGGAATAACAGAAAAAAAAATGGTATTCCTTGTTTTCCTTTAAAAAGGGACTTCTTTCTAAAGTGTTGCTTTCTTGCACAGAAATTTCCAGTAGAGGGAGCTTTACTATTGAATTTAATAGAAAAAAATGGTTTTGTAAAATATTTTGTGCCTTCAGTTTAAAAGAAGTTTGAGACCATTGTTGCTTTTCATGAATTCATGACCCCTTTAAAACGTGTGGAAATACCAAAGTATTTCCTAGATAATTTTTCCAAATATAGTGTTTACAGTATTTCAGCCTGGATCCTTTGTAAATCTGAAAGTTCAATATAAATTTTAAGTGTCCCATGGTAGCAATTTGAAATCTGGTCCATTGCTTTTGCTCTTTCTCTGACAGAAGCAAAAGACAATTGGGGAGAATGGTAGCCTGATAGGTAAACCTAACTGTTTTTAGTATTTCTTCTTTTTTTTTTTGGTGACTACTGTAAGCACAACAGCAAAATGATGTTTGATTACACAGTGTATAGTAGTTTTGTGGCACTGAAGCACACATTGCTATTCCAGTAGCCTCATTTCCTGAACACAAATAAGGGCTCAAAAAGCAACGATTCTCCTGCTTGCCATTCTGTACGTTCCCTTGTGGAGGCCAGTTCCTCTCTGGCTCTTGGAGATGGTGACGCTTTTGATGTGGTGGCATCTATATGGCAAGAGTGGACAGGCTCTGCACCTTCTTCATGGCAGCGATGTACTGAGGTATTGCTCCCAAGTCTCAGTTGTTTTTGCTTAAGGCAGAATATTTTTTTATCCTTCCCATTTCTTTCACAGGTTTTCACTACTTTTTTTTGCAAAATGTTGAGGAGTATTTCTGTCGCCTTTCTATTGTTGCCTACTGGCAAAAAAAGAGCAGGAAAAGAGAATAAAATTCTAGGAAAACGTCTCCTCTTCCCAAAAATACTTAGTCTTTGAATTTCTCTCTCGGAGCGTAACCTCACCAAGATTTCCAAGCTTCACAGTCATCCCCGGTTGTGAGGGAGTGCCAGGGATGGACACACCAAGAATGTTTATTGCTTTGGAAAACCTCACATTCTTTTTCCTGGCACAGACAGTCCATTAAATGCACAAAATGTGCAGTGTGGAAAAATGATTATTCTGTCACAAGATAACGCAATTACAGTGTTCTCTGCTGAAGGCAGAGTTGATTTGGTAGCCAAACACAATGCTGAACCTTGTTCTGCTCTTGTCCTGACGTTTGCTTTCACACAAATAGTGAATTAGTTCTAGTTTAAAGGGGTCTAGTTTGTTAAATTTTGATTCATGCAATGTATGTGTTGTAAGAAACAAGAAACTAAGATGAGACTATGCATTTGAAAATGCTAACTGCAGTAAGCTCCATAAATTTTTGTTAGCTAGTATTATGTGTACGAGTGGTTTGTAGATCATTTTGCATTTATATTGCATATTATAAAATATATTGTACAGTCAGCCATTCACAGTTCTTTTCTGAATATATTTAATGTAATGCTCCACTATCTGCTTCTTTTCTTCTGTCACTATTAATTGATAAAGCATTGCTTTTTTGAAGCCAGAGTCATTTAAGTTGAACTTGATCATAGAAAGCGGATTATAACATATATGGTAACACATTTGTTTTTAACTTCTGTACATTTTTAGAGAGAGATGTATATACTTTTGGACTTGGACAGTATGGACAACTGGGACATGGAACTTTTGTTTTTGAAACTTCCTTACCAAAGTCTGTGGAACACTTGAGGAGACATAAAATACACAGCATTGCATGTGGGGAAAATCATACTGCTGTAATAGCGGGTACGTACATGAAAGACTCTGAATTGCACTTCTAGTGACTCTCCCTGAGTAAGTTTTCTGTACAAAATGATTAGGGCAAAAAAAGGGATACATGTAGAGTTACCATTTCTATATGTTGAGCAGCCAAAGTTACCATTTGTATAAGTTGAGCAGCAGTGGGAGTTGGTCAGAAAGACAGATTGGATTTTAGGAATTTCTGATTTGCAGCCGTGTGTAGTTCTGTACCCATTATTTCCTGGGGAACTGCAACCTCATAGTCATGCTTTACAAACAAGTATTCTTGTTTACAAGCCTTTGTTTCACTCTGCATTTTTTTCCACTTTTTTTTTTTTTTTTCAAATTTCAAGACTAACTGTAATTTAAGACTGTACTTTATCTGAAAATATACATATTTTTGGATTGTGCTCATCTATAGAGAGTCTAAAAATAGTTACTCAGTTTTTATTATTGAAAGAGGAGTATTCATTACTTGCACAGTCTGTTGCTTTATTTGTAATGGCTTTGCCCTGTTTTTTTTTTTATTTCTATTGACCTTTGTTATTAATAACATCCCATTTTTCCACACACAGAAAATGGCCTCATGTTTACCTTTGGAGATGGGCGACATGGCAAATTAGGACTTGGAGAGGAGAATTTTGTAAACCAGTTCAAACCCATTCTGTGTTCTAACTTTCTGAGGTTCACAGTCCTTTTGGTAAAACTTTTTGTTCCTGCTTCTCAGACATCAAAATGTTTATATTTTTATGAGACATGTTATTAATAACTGCTGAAATCTCATTTTTTTTCTACAGTCTTTAATTAATGGATAACAATAATTCTGAGAAGAAAAGAGCTTATCATGCTGCTTGTTCATTTTTGAGTGTACTTGGTTTGGGCTGTACTTTTAGGTTTTTTTTTTTTTTTTTTTTTTTTTTTAAGAATCACTAACATCAAAATATGTTTTGTTTTCTACATCTGGTATTTTTATATGAAATAAAACAATTGTAAGGGGGAACAAATATCGGTTCTGAATATAAGGGGTTCCCGAGCGATATCATTTTATTTTTAATGATTATACAGTGAGGTATTTACAAAATCTTTACAAAAACTTT